CTTTATTCTACTCTCAGTTACAGTATTTGGTTGAACAATGATATTTTTATATGATGATCACCAAATTGTTGCCAAGACATAAATTCGATGAAATACAATTGATTAAATATGAAGTCAAGATATGCCACGCCTCTTAATCTTGTTTTATAACTATTGCATATAAAAAAAAAAGAATTAAATATTAAAGTTGGACGATAAAATAGGAAACGGCATTAACTCCCTTGAGGAGTGCAATCAGGCATCCAAAATTTTTAATTGCACATGTCTTCTCAGGACGTAGGCTATTGTGGTTTTCCACAACGTTCTATTTTTTGTTGATGTAACTCCTGCCAATTTACTACCTCACTTTTTTTCCCTTATTCTGTCAACTATTTACTCAGACTCACCGAGATGGTTATTCACTGTTTCTCCTTTTATCCCCATGTCTTTAGTGTACCTTGTGAGTCTTAAATTCTCCTTGAATTCTTTCATCATTATGTACCCCAGAAAATTAAGCTGTCCCTTTCACATTATTAGCAGCATTTTCCTCGTTACTTACATTCAATCCGTTCAATGTATTCGTTCCATCTCTGTCGTATCTTTTCTTCTTTCATTATGATTGTTTTCGTTATGGATTTTATGTCATTTTTATTTCTGCTATTCTTAAAATCATTTATGCATGACTGTTACAATGCATTTATGCATTGTAACAGTCATGTTACAGACTGTTACATTTACATTTATGCATGACTGTTATAACAATGTTCTGCAGTTTTTCTATCTACGCACTTCTCATTTTTGCTTATTTGTATTTATTTATAATGTTTTCCTTTAAAATCATATACTTTCTGTCATTTCTTGATGTTATCTGCTGTCTTTCTTTCACTAGTTCGATTGTTTCATTTATAAGTCAATTTATTTTTGTCTCGCTTACTTTGGGATGACGGTTGGACGGCATCAGTTGAATATATCTACATCTTTAAAATATGTGAATTCATCACCTAGGATTTATATACATTTATATAGATAGTTCCGAAAAGAAGATAAATATATATGTCGGTAGCTGTTGTGTGCATGTGTGTACGTGTGTGCATGGGATTGCGTTACGTGGTTCGGGTGTAATTAGGTTGGATCGCCCATGCAACTAAGGCTTCCCAGAATGGAAACAGGACCTCGGTATATTGGGCGTAAAGAGACTTTATGTCCTTTAATTTTATACAGCTTTATACACGCTAGAGGGCGTCAGAGGTCTCCTGTCAGACAAAGTGGTGTAATTCTTGCTGTTGTCACTATCGTTTCCTTTAAAGTGTTCCACTATAAGTTACTGACCTCTTGAAAGATTTTACATTTGTTAACTTAGGAATGATATTAGAATAATCCAGAATTTATACTGGGAACAAATCATCTGTATACGGATATAAAAATAATTTAAAAAATAAATAAAAATAAAAAGACAAGGGGGGGTGTGTCTTCTCAGCGGACTTATTTAACCTTTACACTGAGGCGATCCCGAGAGAATTAGACATCTTACCAGGATTCATTATTGGTGACCACAATAATAACAACTTAAGATATGCAAATGGCACAGTGCTTATAGCAGGCACAGAAAATATATTACGGAACTTCTACAGAAGATAGTACAGGAAAATGAGAAGAAAGTATTAAATGCCAATTGTAAGACAGAATGATTCATTGTTAGCAAAAGGAATAGCCCAAGATGCGAACTACGAATTGTAGACATCAAAATCAAGTAAGTACAAAAAATTTAAATATCTTGAAAGTGTTTTAACAAAGGGCAGAAAATGTGATACCGAAATCCGAAGGAGTATTTGGATAGCAAAAGACGCCTTCCAAAAGCTAAGAAAAGTATTAAGAAACAGGAACATTTTGTTAGCAACAAAGAAAAGACTACTGAACTGTTATGCAGTATCAGTCCTATATGGCAGCGAAAGCAGGACAATCTCCTCACATATGAAGGAAAGACTTAGGCAACAGAAATGTTGTTCTAAAGGAGAATGCTGGGAATAGCACGGATCGAACATGTGAAAAAGTTTCCTAGTTACTGTCATACTTTTGCCCATTGTATTCTCGGCATTGATCGGTAGAACCACGTCACTGTCGCTTCTTCATTTATGAGGAAATTGTCCAAAACTTATTGTCATTTGTTCATCACTGTTTTTTTTGTTTTTTTTTTCTAAGAATGCTTTCCTATCCATTTATACTTTGTTTAATTTCTGAAATGCATCTTTCGCTATTTTTCGTGAAATGTGAGCAACGACGAAGTTTTAGGGAAAATGGAAACAAAAAGGACATGTCCACACAGAATCAGAAAAAGATAGTTGAAATTTCTATGGCACATAATAAAGAAAGAGGGATTGCAAAATGTGATACTCATATGACATATTGAATGCAAGAGGGATATATGCCCGCAGATGAACGACTTTTTAATCAATTCACTCCAAGCAAGGCAATAATGCCACTAAGACGCAAGGGGCTACTTGGGGTGAAAGAGAATGAAAAAGACTTTAGAAGGAACCGAAAGCCCAATCCTAAACAGGCATCAAGGCATAAGCCTCAACTCCTGTTCAAGAGACCGGGGAGAAGGGTGAAACGGACGATAGGCGAACCAATCGATTCCTATTGAGGAAAAATAGAAATAAAATTTCAGAGTTTAGGCGGAGATAATTAGAACTATAGATTTGAGGTAGACTTTAGTTTAGCCGGAAACTCCTGTTCAAAAGACTGGGTGAGAGAGAAAGAGAGCCATTTTTATACTGTCAGATATTTTGTTTAGCATTTTACAGTCCCGAGAAGGAGGGCAATAAATTCGTGTATCGTGGCTCTTGTGACCACTAGCGGCTCTGTAATAGTGTATTAAATAAGAGTAAGTTTTCTATTCCTCCTCTCTTCCTTTAATTTGAGGTATTAGCATCCGCTGCTAATAAAGTAAAATGTTTTGCCCGTAAATTCTCTTTAAACTCTATTGTTGATTCATCTAGAGAATCATTACCACTTGGAACTGAGTCTCTGTTGAGTGATATGTATATAACCCCTTCCATGGTCTCTGCTATCATCTCTAATCAGGATCCTCACAAAGCATGTGGACTTCATGGTATCCCTGTAATAGTCCTTAAGAAATGTGCTCCCGAACTGGCTTCTGTTCTTTCTAAACTATATAATAAATGTCTAGCTGCATCTTGTTTTCCTTGTTGTTGGAAATCTTCAGCTGTTGTTCTGATGAACCGTTTGACGCTTCCAACTATCGGCCTATTTGCCTCCTATCACAATTTGGTCAACTATTAGAGGCCATAATCAACGCTAAATTAGTTAAGAATCTCACATCACATGGCCTTTTTTCAGACAAGCAATATGGCTTTCATTTCTCTAGGTCAAATGTTGATGTATTAACGATTATTGCGGAAAGAGCCTATAAAGGAATGATGAAGCTCGGGCTGTTGCTTTGGACATCTCGTAAAAGTTCGACAGGTTTTTAGCATACAGGTCTTCTTCACAAGTTAAAAAGCTATGGTGACTCCGGACGACTAATGCAGGTGTGCCCAGGGCTGCACCCTTGTTCCTACTTTGTTCCTTATTTTCATCGGTGAATGACATCAGCTCTCAACTTGGTATCTATGCTGACGATACAATTTACTCTTGTCGCGATACTAAGTTTGATCAATTCAATATGGTCAAATTAGCGGCTGATCTCAAAAAATGACGTAGTCATTTGTCAACTGGGGCAACGGATTACTTGTTAATTTTAACGCCTCCAAAACAAAACCTCTCATCTGCCTTCCATCAGCGTGGCTGACGCTAACTTCCAGAAAATTGACACGTTGCCCTTTCTTGGGCTAACATTCTCGTCTAACATAAAGCGGAATGATGATATTGAATCCAACGCTAGGTCTGCTGCCAAGAAGGTTGGTTCACTGCGACTTGCTAGACAATTTTTTTACTCCTGAATCTTATTCACATATTCATAAGTTTACCATTCGTCCATGCCTCGAATTGCTGCTACATATGATCTAGTGTCCCTGCTGTATATTTAGAGATTCTTAATAAAATCCAAAGAATCAGCAATATTATTGGTCCTGACCTGACGCCTTCGGGAGATAGTTAATGAAAATCGAAAATAAAGTAGGACAAAGGATAGAGCCCTGGTGGGCACCTGCATTAGTGTAAAGGCATCTAGAAGAGTGGCCATTCAGTTAAAATATCATATATAAAAAACGTTTTCGTTGTATTCGTTATGTAATTTTATTTCAATTGTGCCCTCTTTACTTAAATTTCCCAAGCACCAGGCTGTCGATAGATTTGTCAACATGTCAAAAACATCCGATTAATTAAGCATTAAATCAACTAATTTTTCATAACATTTCAGAAAATATATTTTATTTTTTTTTAAATTTTTTTAATAAAGAGAATTATGTCGTGTTCACAGATTTATTAATATGGACGATTTTATAGATTTTACTTATAATAAAAAAAAAATTGCAATCAATTTAAATTAGATTTGGAATAGAGCAAAATATTTTGCTTATTGGAAATATCTATTAGCTTAGAATTAAAACTAAAATAAAAGCTTCAAAGAAGATTTTTCATTTGTTAAAATTTTAAACTTTAGGTTTCGCTTTTATTGGCGGTACCTATTTTTATGATATATTTATTTATATTTCTGCAAATTTTTATAAAACTTTGAAAAAAAAAACTATTTTGCGAATGGCTTATAATCACACATTCCCAGATCAAATGAAAATTTTCATTATCTTTTAAAAATAGAGTATCATGTGTCAATTTCCTTTAGGTATCTTTTACCCGCGCAACGCCAGGTACTTCTGTTAGTATTAGTTAAGTCTTAAGATGTTTAATTTGATTGGTTACACACAGTTTCAGCTATATTCTGAATACTAAGGAATTATTCTGCGACGTGAGGATTTTTTCAGGTTATTTCAAGACAGACTGGTTAAGTTATTCAATTTATTAGTAATATGTTAATACAGGGAAGACTTATTTATGCTTACATCATTTGGAGATCTCCTACATTTATAGCTGGTGCCTCCCAAATAACTGTCAGATTTTTTTTCTTTCGAATTATTTGAGTGTGAAATCGTCGAGTTGTTCTGCAAAATCAATTAAATAGATGCATCAATATTTTATTTTTTAGTGAAAGAATTATATATATATATATATATATATATATATATATATATATATATATATATTAAGCGTTATTTTTAGTGGTTACCAGTATTTGAAATAAACACTGTTTTTTTTTTTTTTTTTTTTAAACAGTGTGTATTACGCCTATCGGACTGCGCATTCGAGAAAAAAATATAATAAAATAAATGTGCTCTTGTAACAAAAGAGGACGCACGTTCGAACCAACTTGCATCGTCCTTTGTTAAAAGAAACCACATGTTTTAAATCGCTCGTCTACACAGAGCGTCACAAGCGAGCAATGTTCTATTTACACTTTTAATGAAAAACAGGGCGTCTGTTTTAAATACGGTTATCCACTAAAAATAACATTTGAAGTAATAAAAATGTCGTATATTAAATCATAATGATAATTACTTTGGGAAATAAATATACATCGAAACTCCTTCTCGTATAAACATGCGCACCAATAAACATGCACGCTGAAATGGAAATAACAATTTTGAAACCTAGTAAAAACGTGTTAGCTTCATTCTAGGAAAAGATTTAAGCGTCACATTCTCGAGTTTGACCCGTAATAAGTTTTTTTAATGGCACGTCATTTCAGAATGTATGCGATTATGGCTCTCCACAGATTCCTTTACTTTATTAGCTGTGAATTGATACGATTTCTTAAGGATTCTTTTCCCCGTTGCCTTCTCCTTGATTTTAAATTCAGAGTTATCCTTCTCCTAGTCTGGTTGCCACCCATAAGGTGAGGGATAGAAGGAATTCATGCCATCCCCAAAAGTATTAGTGTGAGTGCACGCAATAAACAAGGTCGGAACTTAGTCACCGATTTAACTTTTCACACCGATAATAAATAGTAACGTCACCCGCACTTCTTTTTTATGTTTTGAGTACTTTCATAAAAGTGCCCGTTTAGCGCTTGTGACTAATCATCTTTTAAATCTGTAATAAACAATAAAGGAGTGAAATTATGTTGTTTGTTATGAATCACGAACAGAAAGCAATAAATTGTCATAAATAGAACGTTATTCCTGTTAAATGGAGGCGTCATAACTTGATCACTAAATTGGAATTGTATAAACATCACTTTTTGCAGGTTTTAATGATAAAAAGTCAAATTTTCTCTATGAATATTGACGATCTCATAAAAAAAATGCCCGTTAAAGGTTCAGTAAAAGGATAGCATAAATGTCAAAATGCTTCTATAAGTTGTTTATGACCAGAAGAAATCTTTCTATAAGACTCAAATTATTTTGATCAATGATAAATACAGTCAGAGAAAGTTTATTTATAGGACTCCACATCAACAGCTCAGAGCTATACAATCATGGTATTTTAACATAAAACAATTATTTTCCCATTTTAATCAATTACATGGTGCAATAGCTAAATTGTCATTTTATATTTTTAATTTTGCGCATGCGCGTTGTTTTTGATTTTGTCGGCTGTACAGTATAGTAGGGTCATTGGACACTGTCTGTGAGAAAAAGCGCACCATGACACAATTCACTCCGCCAGAAATTTGGAAACGGCATGCTGTACTGCTTGGCATTCGTACCGGAAGCTTCAATACGAACATTTCAGAGTGTTTGGGTATCAATCTGAAGACACTGAAGAGGATTCGGAAAAATAGGATGAGTCTAATAGTGATTACGAAGATGTTTGAAGTGATCACTATTGATGGCGATGTTATGCCTCCATTCATCATCCCACAGAGGCCTACATCAAGTTCCTTGAGAAAGTAGTCAAGAGAATGGCTGCTGGAAAACCCTATGTCCGCCAACTGGACTCTGCACTATGCCACACAAGCAGGAAAACCCAGTCATAGCTGTTAGACAATTTCTGCGACTACCTCAGCCCTTACATCTGGCCACATAACTCCCCAGACTGCACCCCATCGATTATTATGTGTGGGTCTCAGTTGAGCGAGAGACCAACAAAACTCTTTTTAATACCAAAGATGAACTGAAGGCAAGGATTATGACAGCATTCACCAACTTAAACAAGGAGAGCGTCCAGAAGAGATGCAGATTTCGAAATCATCTGAAGGCCGTGGTTGAAGCCAATAGCGATTTTATAGAATAAATTTACTCCTTAGTATTTCAAGATATTTTTGTGTAATTTTGGTAAATATATTTGTTAAAATGAGATGTCAGTGTTATTTTAATTTTTGCGTAATTTAGACGGCAATTTATCCATCGCATCCTGTATACTAAAATTACAATGAAAAGGACATGAAATGTAATGTATCCGTCGCTATTAGTTAAACATAATATGCATGTTTTACTTGACTGAACTCGAATACAGCTGCCTATTGATAATTCCCCTTTGGGAAAATCTAATTAAAGTTTGATATCGTAGTGAGAAAGTTATAAGAGATTGAATACAATGCGTGTGCAAAAAAAAAAAAAAGAAAAAAAATCTTTACACTACAGAATGTAAAACATTGTTTATGAGATTTCATGGTGAACAACCAAGATTGCCGATATGCCATTACTGGTTTCTTAATATCACACTGTCTTAATAGTTGTGCTGTATCAGAGCTGATTAAATATTCTTCAGAGTTGGAACTTTTCGTTGCTCTTTTCGTGGGCTAGCCTCCGTGTGCGCACGAAATGTATGCTGCTTGAGTTAGAACCAAATCTGCATAAGACTCTTGAAAGTTTGCGCTGTTTAATAACTCCATTTTTTTTCTGAGGAGTTGTAAGAGATTAAATGAAATCTCTAGAAGTAATTCACGTGTATTGAAACAATGAATAAGCAAAAATTAACCTTCGTGCGAATAAAGGGAAATTTCAGAGTTAAGAATTTATTTTTACTGTAAAACTGGTTTTCTGGAATGCCACTGACAAAAACAAATACGCACACAATACTCACAAATATACATACGCACGCACACACACACTCATGTATATATATATTCCATATATATTATTACATGGAGTAACAAGTATATATATTTCAGTTTGTCTCATCATCTCGACTTTTGTTTCGGATAGTATTATACATCTTCACACACACACACGCAATATATATATATATATATATATATATATATATATATATATATATATATATATATATATATATATATATATATATATATATATATATATATATATATATATATATATATATATATATTTTGACTGGCATTGGTTACATGGTTAGAGAAATATTATCCGGAAACTAAACAACAATTCATCGTGTTATCCCCAGCCACAGAAACTTTTTTATTAACAGAGATATTTTTATATAGCGATGAGAATATTTTAATTTCCGAACAAAGTCAGCCTGTTGTGACCGTGTTCATAATTTATATATATATATATATATATATATATATATATATATATAGAGAGAGAGAGAGAGAGAGCGATGGTAATTTACTTACGACCTTGATGAAAAAAAACTCATTTATATTCCGCACTTGGTATTCCCTAGCGGACACCAATTTACGCCAGGCTCGACGTTGTTTAACTTTCAACGTGCCATGGCAGTAAGTTATGTCACTCAACTAAGTAACAACTTTTATGTTTGTATTAATTATACACACAGACATATATATATATATATATTTATATATATATATATATATATATATATATATATATATATATATAGAGAGAGAGAGAGAGAGAGAGAGAGAGAGAGAGAGAGAGAGAGAGAGAGACGCTATGAAAGTATGGCGCACAATGATATATATGCCCACATATGTGCCCACATACACGCATAAATACATGTATACGCTCACAAGCACACTTATGACTTCATCTTTACACAATGAAATCTATTGGTGACTTTTTTCCTAATTTTAATTTCTGAAAATATAAAATCCTTGAAAATTATTGATTGTCGTTCATATGCACACACTTGCTCTAGTGTCGTTTTTGTTTTTTTTTAATATTTTGGGAATTTAAAAGTTTTAAAACTTAAAAATTTGTCTTACATTAAACAATACGCAGGGTGTTTATATATATTTTGATGTGATGAGGCTTGAAATTTGGAAAAACAACTTTGGCTTATGCGCATCTCAAACTGGATTGTGATACCATTAAAAAAAAAAACCGGCGCTACATAATCGTTATTTTAAAAATACACATACGAATATACTAAGAATATTTGGTTAATACGGGCTGACATTGAAGATTTTTCGAGTTTTTGCTATTGCTAGTTAACATTAGTTATATATATAACGATAAACAACAGGTCTTTATTAGTTAATATAGCAACAAAGGTGAACGCATTTTGGATTACCTTATTTGAGCACTTTAAAGTATGTGTTCCAGAAACTGGATAAAATCTGCCAAAATTCTCTAATTCTCCTTTGCGTCGAGCGGCCATCATAAATCCTTCAAAAACTGTGTCTCTTTTAATTTCAATGGTAACTATGTAGAAAAGAAATAAAATTAATTTACAAAATTAACAAGTTTCCTTTTAATTTACTCGAAACCAAATAAAAATCAATTATATTTTTTCTGGGTCATTGATATACCCGCAATACAAAAAATCAGAAATTATATATTTCAACAAATCTTACATTTAGATTTATTAATACACTTTATAAGAAACTGCTTAATTAGGTAACTCCAAATATCTGCTAAGCAAAAGAACGATACATGATGATAAAATGACAAAAACATAATGAAAACAAAATTTTATCGTCAAAATCTTTGTGTTATTATTAAAAGAAAAGATCAAATGCTTTTTAGTTGAAAATTATTTTTTAAATTCTTTTTAAAACTTTGGAATTTTTAATTTTATTTGACGTCAACGCAGAACCTTGAATTGGAGATTTTTTGTATTGAAAAAAAAAGAATTAATTTAGAAAATCTTGCGAAAATCTGATAATTGTCGGATTTTAATGAAACTTTCAGGACTTATTCAAAATTGAACGAAATTGTTTTTGAAATGTTTCATTTTTAGGAAATGTATATGAAAATAATTTTTTACATCTATAACTCTCCACTCATTTAATTTTATGAAATTTCGAGAAATTCTTTTTTGTATCGCAAATGTTTATATTTGTTATAAAGACAAGTTCTTGGAGAATATAAATCGTCAAAGGGTTTTGGTCAATTCCGAAAAATCTGCTCTGAATCATAAGATAAAAATGCAATAAAACCAAAATATTTTTACTTACAAAAGATTTTAATTTCTTTCATGAATAAAATATATTATGGAGATTATGGCCTTAAGAGATATTTTTTTCAATGAATAATTAATTTTTACTAGAATTGTTTTCACGTTTTTAAAATTTTAATTAGAATAATTATTAAATTTTTAAATCTTTTAAACCTCTGTATTAATTTGTAGCGGCTAAGTGATATTATCAATAAATATGTATGTGCAAATTTGTAAAATTTTGTAAATACGTACATCCATACTCAACATTATCAGACAATAAGTAAAATACTTATAATGAATTTATACTTTATTTGTAATTTTCTAATATTTTCAATCGTCTTCGTAAGACTATAAAGCCAAAGTACCTAAAATTCAATAAAATATTTGAATGCTTGAAATATTTTCTTAAATTTTCAAGATTACTAGGTAGCTAAAAAGTGATATAAAAGGCATTAACGTATTTCTTTCAGTTCTGTCCACCTTACATTCCTCAAACATCAAGCTGTCAATAAATCACTTAACAGGTAATAAAACACCCTCTCGAGTTAAAAAATGCTTTTGTGCGATATTTTAAACTAAAAGTAAGTAATATTTGTTGTAAAATTAAGCTAAAAGTAAATAATATTTGTTATATAAATCATCTGTGCAGTTTATTAACGAGCGTAAAATGATGGTCCGTGTGGTTGCATTAAAGCAACTGAAATTAAGTTAAAAATAAATATTAGTCAAAAATGAATTATGGTTGAATTAATATGGATTCAAACCCATAATTACACAGCAGTCTAGTTTGGTAACATATATATTAAAACAATTGAATTATATCGTAATAATTTTATTTCTCTACAAGACGATCTAGCATACTGAAAGTCAGCAAGAGAAAGGTTTCATTTTGGTAAAATTCTCGAGAATAAACAACAGTAAAAAAAAACATTTATTTACTGTAATTTTCTATTGTACTTGATAATTGTCCAGAAATTTATCTTCGTTAAGATTCAACAAGTTCACGAAACAAAGTTAAATGTTATAATTACTCTCAAGATTAAATATGATTTTAAATATGATTTTATTTAGGAGATACAACTAACTTCTAAACGTGTAAGTTAGCTCAGTTGTTAGATGAAAGGAGTAATGCAAAGAATTGAGGTTTCAGCTTAAAAAAATGGCCGATGGTGCTTGCTGTGAAAAATGCATTCACGAGAAAGAAAATTAAAACGCAAAATCACTAAGTGGATGTATGAAACTACATTTATATTTTTGTATCCAATAAAGTTTTCAGTACAAACTTTGAATTGCAAAATCTCATAATCACTAAACATACCACTCTTAGTCCAAGTTTTTCCAAATATATGGAAATATGTACTACTACTATACACTTTTTCATTTTCATCTGGCACAACATATTATTATATTATTCTTGTTCCTTTCTTAATTCCTGAGTCCTGATGCATATCTCAGTGACACATTTTCTATGATACTCAAAATATACAAAACTAAAATGCAATTATTAATTTAGCACATGAAATGGTCTTATGTTCTTCCTTCTGAATAAATTATTAGGCATTTACAAAAGTTTCCAGATCGATCTTTTTTTTTTTTAAAGTTGAGTTGAATTCATAGACATTTTTTTAAATAAAAACCACTGGGAATTTTAAGCACACTTTTAATATTAAGATTAATAATAAAAAAAATGATAATACCCGTAAAAAGAAATTTTAAAATATGAAGTATATAAAAATGTATTACGCCTAAAATAAATTGAATCTTATTAAATAAAACGGTACTTTGTATGCAGAAATATTTCACCACTTGAAACAGGAGAAAAGTTGATTTTCAATTCCTATTTTTATTTTTATATTCATCATAATTTTAACTTTTAAAATAAAAGCCATCTTTTGGTTCTCAGAATATTGAATTATACTTTGTACCTGAATATACAAATTCTACAGATAAAGAATTACGACAATAAAATTATTGCGATAATGACACAAATATAGAAATCTTTTTTTAACAATAGCAATAAAGTGTCTCCGAATTTCACTTGTTAATGCGACTAATGTTTCCAGGTAGCTTTTACAAAAAAATCTTACCTGAAATATTTTGATTTGGGGAATAGCTGTTTGATGAAAGTTTTATAACATAAGGAACAGGTGTGTTATTTGCCACGACACCGTGATTTGGTAACATATCATCACAAGTACTTTCAGGAGCTCCAATGGAATAACAGTGCACTTGTAAAATCAAACCAAAATAAACAACAAAGAAGACTGGTAACATTTGTGAAATTCTGTTGCGAAATTTGGTAACCTGAAAGAACCATAAAATAATAAATAAGTAAAACAAAATAGGTTTTAATGCAAAGCGAGAGTAGTAATTACTTTTATAATAAAATTTCTTTCAATTTTGAATAAACCAGTGAAAAAGTAACTCATTTCTCTTGATTTATACGTCACTACTTTTCCAGAAAAAAATCACAAAAATTTTAGAGTTTTGTTTCCTTCCTTTTTTATTTTGTGTCTCAGTCAATCTGATAATTAATTTTCAGTCTTTGTAAACAAAAAATGTAGACTGACAATTTAGACATGCATTCCCTTGTACATAAACATGTAAAGTTGATTAAAAATCAAAATAACATTCTTGGTCTATGATTTTAACAAAAGAATCTCAGTTATTAAGCAATAAAAGCAAAAATGGCTCATAATTTCAATTTTTATTTTTACCTATTTTGCCCAGATTTTTTCAAAATTTAAGCAGTTAAGCTAAGTTTTTTTTTATCCGTATCACCCTATGTAAGGCATCAAAGCCACTAAGGGGTTACAGGGTGTGGAAGAATTAGGAACAGAATAATGAGCGGAAAGAGAAAGAGTCAGGAGGACAGTAAATAGCGACTGATATTGCATTTAAATTCTTGTAGATTAAAGTTGGTTGAAAACAGATCCGGAAGGGAGTTCCACAAGCAAGAAGTGCGACAAAAGAAACTGTGAGCATAGAATTTACGGTTACGCCTAGCCAGCTTAACTGTAAATTGATGAGATCTCGACGCCAGTCTAGCGAAAAGCCCATCCCAACAATTACCATGAAAGTATTTATAGAAAAGACACAGACAGGCAACCTTAAAACGGTGGGAAAATAACAGAAGCAGAGCCGCCAGATCAGGACCAATAATATTGCTGGTTCTTCTTTGGATCTTATCAGGGAGATAAGGTAAATAGCATGGACAACGGACCATATGTGGTGGCAATATTCTAAGCATGGGCGAATGGTAGACATAGATATGTAAGATTGATTCTGAAGAGAAAAATTGTGTCGCACGACACAGTGAACAGACTTTCTTAGCAGCTGACCTAGCAATGGATTCAATATAGTTTTTCCACTTCATGTCAGCCGAAAAGGCGAATGAGTCACTGCCCTGTCGATTAACATCAGCTCTACTGATGGAAGGCAGGGGGTCTCTCAGATGATTAATAAATAGCAGTATAATGTAGGGGGCGTTAAAATTAACAAGCCACCTTTTTCCCCAATTAACGACGGACTTGAGGTCGCTTGGGACATCGGCTGCCATTTTGATCATGTCGGACTGATCAGCCTTATTATCGAGGCAGAAGTAATGCTTGTGCCGTCAGTGCAGATGCCAAGTTGAGAGCTATTGTCATCGGGAAGGTCATTAATGAAAATTAAAAGTAGGACCAAGGATGGAGCCCTGGGTAACACCCGCGTTAGTACGAAAGGATCTGGTCGTTCAGGATAACTTTCATTTCACGATTTGATAGGAAAGACTGGATCAGTTCAAAAATGTGTCCGGAGATACCGTAACTTTTCAGCTTGTGGAGAAGACCTCTATGTCAGACCCTGTCAAAGGTTTACGAGATGTCCAATGCTACAGCCCGGACTTCGCTGTTTTTATCTAGAACACGATAGACTCTTTCGGTAATTATCGTCAGTACATCAGCAGTTAACCTGGAGAAACGAAAGCCATATTGCTTGTCTGAGAAAAGGCCCTGATATGAGATAATGAACCAATTCAGCATTGATTAGGGCCTCTAGGAGTTTCTCGAAAAGAGGTAGAAGGTTAATAGGCCGATAGTTGGAAGGGTCAGAGGGTTCACCAGAGTTCTTAGAAACTGGAACAACAGACGATGACTTCTAACAGGTAGAAAAATAGAACAGAGAGAGAACAAGAGCTAGTTCGGGAGCACACTTCTTAATGACTATTACACGGATACCATCGGGTTCACATGATTAGTTAGAATCCAGGTTAAAAATGATAGCAGAAACCATCGAAAGTGTTATATGCATATCACTCAACAGAGATTAAGTTCTAAGTGGAGAGTTAGGCAGGGATACTCCAGATGAGGCAAGAGTAGAGCTTGAGGAGAATTTACGGACAAAGCATTCAGCTTTATCAGAAGAGGATGATTACACCTGAAATTGATTGAAGAGGGGAGAAATAGAGACCTTGCACTTATTTAGTACCTTATTACAGAGCCACCAGTAATCACGAGAGACAAAATTGTTAGAGACTATGCGGTGCCACATTCTCTCGGCAAATATCGACTTAGCTCCTTCGAAAACTTGCTTATATTTATTACGAGCCGTAACGAATAGGCGCCCATTGTAACGGGAGCATTCACGCTAGTATAGCCGAAAATAGTGGTCCCTATGTGCTATAGTGGCTGAGCATGCTGGTGTGAATCATGGAGAGGATTGAGATTTCACCCGGTATTTCTGAGAAGGGATGAAAACGTCCATGCTGGCTTTGGCTCAAGAAGAAACCTCAGTGGCGCAATTTTCAATTGGGAGCTTAAAGATGTCAGTCCAAGTGGCGTTACAAGAAAATCCCGGAGTGAGTCCCAATCGGTTAAACTTCATCAAAAGGTGCGTAATTAACAAGATTTTAGTTGTGATAAAAGTTACAACATCAAGATAAAACTTTAAAATAAAAACTAATAAAAATGTAATTAATAAGGATCGCTTTATCAAGAAAATCAGATAAGACTATTAACAAGATCTTTTGTCATATGCTGGTCTGTCTTTTATGGTTAACCGTTTTAAAAATGGACACGATCAAGAAGAGACGCATAATAGCATTTACGAAGAAGCTCAATTTCTAACCCGGCATACAGAATCTTTGTATTTTTGTTTACACACTCTTGTCAAAAGACTATTTTTCGTAATCGAACAAGTGACTTGACACACTACTGAAAGTAAGCTATGTGCTTGTGCGTTTGCGTTTTCGAATCAATACAACACCAGCCTACTTAACCCAGTTTAACTCATGTCCGTTTACCTAACAGAGTAAAATGACAACAGGACGAATATTAGCTTATCTTGAGTGTCCGGTCCAGTTATCTATAGCTTGGCCAATAATTAATAAATGCATACATGGCCGAGTTGTTAAGTATCAACGAACAAGGTTAACATGGATCTCATATTCATCCACTAAGACAAGATTGAATAAATATCGTTTGAAAAAGCTTGAACTCAGAAGAGACATACAAACTAGCACTTTTTATTTTTGTTAATTGGTGGTTAAAAATAGAGTTTATCATCGTTTAAATTTGTATGTAATTTTTATCATAATGATGATAGTAATATTTGAGATTTTGTAACAAAATAAAATATAAAGTGGATGATTGCCTTTAACTAAAGAATCTAAACATAGGAAATACTTTTACATTATTAATTGAATATTTTAAATTCCAAGTCGTTTATTATCCATTAGTTTTTACCTTTTTATATTTAAATATCTTTAAAATTTGTGCAAATTGTTACCTTTGTGTCAATTATGGGTTTAGTCGAATAAACAAAAATCAGACGTAATCAACAACAATAGAGTAAAATATCTAGACCGTTTCGTTTAACGAACGGCACAGAGTCACCAGTGATCCTTAATTCAAGTTGCATGCCATTTCCGTCTATTGCGTGTCAGTTGCATATTGGTTTTGTTTCTCCCAAATTGGTAACTAAAATTTAAGTTTTTTAACGGTTCTTTTACAATGACGAGCGCAATAAGAAGCTACTGAAATGCAGGTAAGTATGCAGGTAAGTATGCAGGTAAGTATGCAGGTAAGTATCTTTCCAAGATTGTTTGGTTGGTTGGTCAGTCCGTCCGTCTGTTCGTTTCTCTCTCTCTCTCCCTCTCTCTCTCTCTCTCTCCCCACACACACACGCGCGCACACACAGTCATCTATATATTTATAAAGTTGTAGACTGTTATCGAACTTCTCTTAGGGTTTTGGAGTTAGATCCACATAACCATATACATTCTGAAACTTCAAGTGAATGACTCTTGGAGTAGTTGGATAAGTATATTTCATTTTGATCAAAGGGGGTCCTCTTTCCACTGAAAACTTTCCCCCTTTAATTTAAATTAAATTTAAATCTGAACAAGGGAATGACTCCTATCCAAAATATATAAGGAGAAAGCCAGAAGATGTAGGTCACATTGGCAAAATCATTGAGCAATATTAGCTTTCACAAAAACAGGAACAGCTTTCAAAAACGCTTGGATACGGTGGTCACACGAATCAACCACTCAAAACAAATATTTGTTAAGTCGGATAAGACTACAAACTTTTATAAACTCGATCCAAAGCATTACAATACCTTGATTAAAAAGGAGTTAACGGAAAATTATAAGAAGGTTGATACAGATAATTATAACTATGTAAACATGATTAATTCATCGGACAAGAAGATTACCGATAAGCTGAAAATCAGTGATAGGGTGCCCAAATTTTCGACTAGGGAAGCCTACATTCTACTCAAAGACCATAAACCTGATTTCCTAAACAAACTACCTACAAGGATTATCAACCCGACCAAATCTGAAATCGGGAGAATTAGTAAAACGATACTGGAACGTGTAAACAAACAGCTTAAGAGCCAGCTCGGCCTCATCCAATGGATCGAACTACAGAAGGGATTGATTGGTTTAAAAGCCTCAATAACAAAAACAACAGTACTTTCATCCAATTTGTCATCGTGGGCTTCTATCCATCCATATCTAAAAACCTTTTCGAAACGACTTTGGAGTTTGCCGGATTTTACTCCGATATTTCTAAGGATGAAATCGACATTATGAAAAATCAATTATAATCCACAACAACAAACAATGGATAAAAAAAATCAGGTGAAAATTTTGATCTATCGATAGGATCGCTGGATTCTACTGAGTCACCGGACTTGGTCGGACTGTTTATTTTATACAATCTCACTGCACATAATGAAATTAGTTTAAATAATATAGAGATTTATAGGGACGATGTCCTGATGGTAGTAAATAATTCTACCGGAAGCAAGTTTGG